ACCACCACAAATCAATGAAACTGTCCAAACAATAAAGAGAATTTAAAGAATATAGAGAAGTAGTTCACAGAAGAAATTCAAATGGGCAATATTCAGATATTACAAACTTTACTAACAGTGAGGCAATGTAAATTGAATCCCATTGCTAGCTAGTGCGATAGCATACACTTTGGAGGTAGAGGCAGGAAGACGGGGAGTTCAGGACCAACCTGGGCGAGAGATGGTTCAGTAGTTAAGAGCATTCACTGCTCTAGCAGAGGACAGGAGTTCAATCCCCAGCTCCCACATCAGGCAGCTGACAACTCGCTGTAACTCCAGCCCCAGGGCTATCCAACACTCTGGTCTTCATAGGCACTTTTATTCACTTGTGCAAATCCACAAACAGAGCACACACATGCACATAATTAAAAAGAAAACTTAAAAGCAGGGCATGGTAGTGCTCTCCTTGAATCCCAGCACTCGAGGAGGCAGAGGCAGGTAGATCTCTGTGAGTTCCAGGCCAGCCTGGTCTACAGAGTGAGTTTCAAGACAGCCAGGGCGATCAAAAAACAAAAACTAACAAAACAGAACTCCTAGCCTAACCCAACCAATCATCTAAGTAAAATCCCAATAATATTTAAGTGTCACGTTTACCCCCTTCCTCCTCCTCTTCCCCCTCCCCTCCCTTCCTCTATTACTGGTAATATGTTGGTGAGGGTTAGACTGTAATCTTCCTCCCCCCGACAAAATTTCTCTATGTAATACCCCAGGCTGTCCTGGAACTTACTTTGTAGACTAAGCTGGCTGGCCTGGAACTCACAGAGATCTGCCTGCCTCAGCCTGCCTCCCCCGTATCCCATCAACCTCCCATCCACTACTGGAATTAAAGACATGTGCCACTACCATCCAGCTTTAGACGGTAAATTAAAAAAAATATTTTTGATAGTAATTTGGTGACATTTGTTTAAAAAAAAAATCAGCTGGTCCTGCAATCCCAGCTCCCATACCCACACACACACCAAAAAAAAAAAAAAAAAAAAGAAAAAAAAAGAAAGAAAGAAAAAGAAAAGTGGGAAAGAGGCTAGAGAGACAATTCAGTGTGGTTAAGGGTGGATATTCTTTGGGTAGTAAGACACACACTTTTAATCCCAGCACTTGGGAGGCAAAGGCACATGGATCTCTGAATTCGAGACCAGGCTGGTGTACAGAGTGAGTTCCAGGACAACTAGGGCTACAAGGAGAAACCCTCTGGGGATGGGGGCTGGGAGAATGCATATTGCTCTTGGTGTGGTGGCACATACCTATTTTTTTTTTAATGTTTTTTTCGAGACAAGGTTTCTCTATGTAGTTTGGGAGCTGTCCTAGAACTTGCTCTGTAGACCAGGCTGGTCTCACACTCACAGACCTCTGCCTGTCTCTGCCTTCCAAGTGCTGGTCCCATCGCCTAGTCGTGGCACCTACCTTTAATCCCAGAATGTGGAGACAAGCAGTCATCTTTAAATTTGATGTCAGCCTTGCTTACATAGAGAGTTCTAGGCCACTCAGGGACATACAGTGAGACCCTGCTTAAAATAAACAAAGAAAAGAAAAGAAACGAAAAGAAAGGACCCGGTTATTCTTGGAAAGGATCCAGTTCTCAGCATTCACTTCAAGCAACTGACTCTAACTCCAGGTCCTGAGAATATGACACTTATGACCTCTGAGGGCACCTGAAATCGCATCCAAAAAATAATTTTTTTTTCATTTTTATTTTACAAGACAGGGTTTCTCTGTGTAGCCCTAGCTATCCTGGGACTAGTTCTGTAGACCAGACTGGCCTCAAACTCACAGAGATCCATCTACCTGCCTCTGTCTCCTGAGTGCTGAGATTAAAGATGTGTGTCGCCACCACCCTAGAAAAACGTTTTATTTTTTTCTTTTCTTTTCTAAAGATTTATTTATTTATTATGTATACAGTGTTCTGCCTGCATGTATGCCACCAGACCAGAAGAGGGTACCAGATCTCATTATAGATGGTTGTGAGCCACCACGTGGTTGCTGAGAATTGAACTCAGGACCTCTGGAAGAGAAGGCAGTGTTTCTAACCTCTGAGCCATCTCTCCAGCCCCTAGAAAAACGTTTTTAAGAACAACAGTTAGGAGAGCTTTTGGTGTACCTCAGGCTGGCCTAGAACATAACTTTTCTTTTTTTTTATCATTTATTTATTTTTTTTTTAAGAAAAAACACTTTATTTAAAGCAAACAGATAAATGATGCATAGCATAATAGGCATTTAACACACATATAGAACCACAGCACTAAGAAGGCCAGAGTATGACCTGAATGCTGGGCCAACCTAGGCTACATTTGTAAACACTAGGTCAATATAGGGATATATTTAAGCAATTATTTAGTATATCACAAAAACTTAGTCAATTAAAAGAGGGAAGTACCTGAGGAATTGGTAATTGCTGTCCAAATTCCAGCCAACACATCATTTTCTAGTCTTCAGGGGACAAGGAGAGTTTACAGAAAATGTTTGGCCATTGTGTTAATAAGAGTTGGAACCACTGTCAAAGAAAGCAAACTGATCCAGATGGACTGATGAGTAGTACCTGTAACCCTACAGTCTGGGAAAAAGACTGAGATGTTCCAGGAGTCTCGGGACAGCACTTTTCATAAAAAAACAAAAACAAACAAACAAACAAAAAACTAAAGAAATAAAAGCTCAGCCAGGGCACAAGGGCACAAGGGCACATTAATTTGGCAGTGGAACTAACTCTATTGCTCCAGTAAGCTGCTGAACTCTGCAAACCAACCCCAGGATATGACCTGCAGTCCTTAGGAAACAGAAGCAACCATTACCCCCACACCACACATACAGAATGCAATGGTTCTTGTCTGAAAGGCCACTTCTTCCTTGTGATCAAAATTCCCTGGCCTAGACCAAGGGTTCTTGGTTCAGGTGTGAAAGACTGTGTGTAGACTCAGGTGTAACTCCAAGTCCTCAAATGCATCCAAGTCCTCAGAAGATGCATCAGAACTTGAGTATCCTCTGGTTCTTGGCTGCAGCTCCCATGGGAAGTGAGCTTCATCTGTGGATGTACCTCCAGCTACTACTGGGTCAGTTAGGGCTTCTTTTGCTTTGGGTTGGCCAGGGTTGGCGGCTGCACCTAGGGATTCAAAATGAAGCAGGATCTCTTTGGGACATTTATTTTATTTTAAAAATGTGTATGAGTTTGTGTGTGTGTTTGTGTGTGTGTACACAAGTACCTACCCATCCCAGAGGCATGGGATCTTGTTGGAGCTGGAGTTATCAGTTAGTGGTTGAGAGTCACCTGACATGAGTGTTGGGAACTGAACTTGGGTCCACTAGAGCAACAGCAAAGGCTCTTAATCACTGAACCATTTCTCCAGCCCAACTTTTCTATTTTTCCTCCCTTTATTTTTTGAGATAACATCTCACTATGTAGCCTGGGAACTGAATATGTAGACCAGGCTGGCCTCAAACTCACAGAGATCTTCCTTCCTCATTGCTGGGGTATAAAGGTGTGTGCCACCACGCTAGGCTTCTTCATATATGTATTTGTTATTTTATGGATTTGAGTGTTTTGCTTGCAGGTATGTCTGTGTACCATATGTGTGCTTGGTGCCAGTGGAGGCCAGAAGAGAGTGCTAGATCCTCTGGAACTGGAGTTACAGCCAGCTGTGTGCTGCCGTGCGGATGCTGGGAATCAAGCTCTGGTTCTCTGAAAGAGCAGTGTGGGTAACCGCTGAACTCTCTCTCCAGCGTATACCCCCAGTTCTTGGGTACAGGAAGCGATGAGCAACGTTTAGTTAGGTCTGTGGTGATGGTCTGACAACCTTGGGCATCCCTTTCAAGTCTGGTCTGTTGGTCCCTCGGGGACATTTTTAAAGATGGTGATGAGGAGGACCGGCGATGTTTCTCATCTGTAGTGAGAATACAGGTCGGAGGGCAGCAGAAAGATTTGAAGTTAAACATGGGAAACACATCCTGCTGTCTGGATTCATGGTAACAACATCCTCAAGTTCCTCCTTGTAGGATTAACCTCTAGTGGAATGGGACTAGTTTTGAAAGTTAGTAGTAGGGCAGGAGAGAAGGCTCAGGCGTTGAGAGTACTTGCTGTTCTTGCAGAGGACCAAGATTTAGTTCCTAGCACCCACAAGGTGGCGCACAATGGCTTACAACTTCAGTTCCAGAGCTCCAAGGCCCTCTTCTGGCTCCAAGGGCACCACCAGATGTACAGACAAATGTAGACAAAACACTTAATACACTTCTCTCTCTCTCTCTCTCTCTCTCTCTCTCTCTCTCTCTCTCTCTCTCGTTTATCAAGATAGGTTTTCTCTGTGTAGCCTTGGCTATCCTGGAACTCACTCTGTAGACCAGGTTAGCCCTGAACTTAATAGAGATCCTCCTGCCTTTTTTTTTAGGGAGACAGTCTCACTGTGTAGCCACAGCTGACTTAGAACTCACAATTCAGACCAGGTTACCCTCAAACTCGTAGAGATCTGCCGGCCTCTGTATCCCGAGTGTTAGGCCTAAATGCTTGTGCTACCAGGCCCTCAGGCCCGGCCCAACCATTCACTTTAGAAGGAAAGAGTGACCAGCTCTTTTAACACCAAACCATCTCTCCAGTCCATTCATAGTTCTTTTATTAAAGGCTCCGTCAGTTGGGTGACTATTGATAATCACTGTTGTTCACCTGATTCTGCTCACACTTTATAAAATGATGGTCTTTAAATGATGGATAATTCACATTGCTATTAGTATTATGAATGTTCCCTTCCTACCACGAAAAAAATTCTCTTATCTACTTTCAGATCCTTGAATGTCGATTTAACCCCTTGGTGATGGTGGTGGGCTCATCCACTATCTTGAACTACAACTTCCATGAAGCAACGGGCAAAAACCTGCGTGAGCTGACGGGATATCCAACCAATCCAATGGCAGAGCTCTTAGTCAGCGACCTATTGGCTCTTTGTAGAGGCGGGACTCTCAGTTGCTAGGCTGGTGCCTTTCCGGAAGTGGTTGCTGGTCGCTGCAGGGCAACACCCCGGCGTCCCTGGAAGCCGGGAGCCGGACACCCCGGCGTCCCTGGAAGTGGGGGGCCGGGGTGGTGCTGGGGAGGCGGCGCAGAGCCATCGCCCAGGGAACCCCGGGTTGGGGACAGGTGAGACCTCGGAGCCTGGGTTGGTGGTGTGGCGGGCAAGGAATTTGCAGGGAGCTGAGGCGCTGCGAGGTGTTGCTGCGCGGGAACTGAGGTGGGAGAGGAGAGCCCTCGGGCTTGCGCGGCCTGGCTTTCTAACCTCTCCTGAAAATACCCCCCGCACCCTCACCCCGCTCCTCCTCTTGTAACCCACAACTGGGCTGTTCCAAGCTCAATCAAGCTCTTGGCATCTTTTGGCCAGATGGGCAAGAGGGGAAGTTTTGGGTTTTCTTTGCACTGATTTAGGAATCTCCTCCCGAAACCGCTGTCCTCTTCTTGGCCTCGGTGACTCGCTCCGGTGCCTGTGCCAGCTCAGCCTTCTGCAGGCCCCTGCTTGCTTCTCATCGGACTTCAGCTTTGGGGATTGATTGCATCCAGAGCTTCAGTTACCGGCTGCTCAGCGAAGTACTTGCTGTCCGGCCTCATACCTCCTTCTCGAGCTTAGATCTGCTTATGGATCATCTCCAACCTTCCTTGGACTCCATATCAATCTGTCGTGTGTTTCTTGTCTCAGGAGAACTTTCCCAGTTATTTAGGCCAGTCTACGTTGGGAATTCATTCCAGTGTCAGCAGCACGTAACTGTTTGTCATGTCTCAGATTCTAGGTAGCCTGCTGTGGGGTTGCTTCGTGGCGGAGGCCTAAAATCACAACCACTGGCTGAAATCCTCTTTGCTTTCTCTCTTCTCTTCCTTCACCTAGACCGCAAGATCTGCGTTCTCCTGCACTCCGGATTGGCCCCTTCTTTTCATTCAGGTAGCCACTGATGGTTCATAATTTCTCAGTTGTGCTTCTGTTCTTGCCCCTCTCTGATTAGTTCCTTTGCAGCCATCAAACACATCTCTCGACTGTAAATCTCATCACTTCGGCCTCCTTTATGAAATTCTTCTGACAGCCCCTTATGAAGCCCTGCATATAGCTTCAGCCCTCCCAGACCCTTCTGTCGGAGCTGCTCCTTGCCTTCCATTCTAGCGGTCTCTTTATTTAAAAAGTGGGAAGGCTGGGCCGTGGTGGCCTTAGGCTCCACCCCTTCCCACCAAGCCACTTTACCTTTGTTCTTGGTATTCCTCCTTTAAATTCCCTTGCCTTGGGACCTGGTGAGATAGCCCAGATGGTAAAGCTTTCTCTGTAAGCATCTCTTGTAGAAAGCCAGGCATTGTGGTTCATGCTTGCAACCTCAGTGCTAGAGACACAGAGACAGGTGGATCCCTGGCACTGGAGTTACAGGTGGTTGTGAGCTGAGAACTGGTCTTAGGTCCTTTGGAGGGGCACCAAGTGCTCTTAACTGCTGAGCCATCTCGGCAGCCCCAGCCACTCTGATTTTATTCCTTCGCTTCTGGCCTCCTTTTTCAATCTTTCTGGAAACGTGTAGTTCTCTATGACAGAGGCCAGATCTTCGTTGTGGCTTTGCCTTTTCCCTCCTCCCCAGCAACATCTCTGTTACTTTCCTGCTCCTTGGTGTCTGCTCCTGCAGGGCTTATGCGTGTGCTGCTGCTACATTGTTAGAACTTGTTTCCTTCTGTCAGTAAACACCCGTTCATCCTCCAGGTCTCAGCGTCGATACCATTAATCAGGCTCGGGCTCAGGCTCATATCTTAATCCATATGAAATAATACTCTTCTATGTTTTCCTTGTTTGTATTTGTGTGTGTGTGTGTGTGTGTGTGTGTGTGTGTGTACAACTTGAAGTGTTTTTTTCCTTCCACCAAGTGGTTCTTGGGGATCAAACACAGGTTGTTAGGCTTGGTGGCAAGTACCAAGTAAGTCATCTTGCTGGCTTCCTGCCCCATCTTCCTTCTCTCTCTCTCTCTTTCTTTTTTTCGAGACAGGGTTTCTCTGTAGCTTTGGAGCCTGTCCTGAAAACTAGCTCTTGTAGACCAGGCTGGTCTTGAACTCACAGAGATCTGCCTGCCTCTGCCTCCCAAGTGCTAAGATCTGAGGTGTGTGCCACCGCCACCAGGCTTCTTTCTTTCTCTTTTTCTTTCACCTGGCCTTAAATAGCCTTGGCTGTCCTTGAGCTCCCCTGGCTGAGGATGACCTTGAACTTGGGATTCTGTTTGCACCTCCTTGTGCTGAGCTGGTGGGCCTGCCTAGTTTAGTTTTGAAACTCTTATCTGGGACTGTCTGACTGAGCAGCAGTTGCTGGGGAGGAGTGCTGGCTGAATCTGTTTAATGCCACGCAAGTCCATGTGGGAAACTTGATAAGTGTTCCATAGAAGTTTTTCCATCTCAAAAGTGACCTCCATGAACTCTCAGGGAGGTGTGTGTTCTTTCTGTATACCTTCCCTGCCTCGCTTCTCTGCACCTTCCAACTTGGCCTATCCTTGCCACATTTCTCTGACTCCAGGAAAGGTATAGTACAGCCCAGACATATTCCTGGCAGGAGGCTTGTCTGAAATTTGGAAAAATCCATGGATTCAGTTTTTCAGTTTCCTGGCCTGTAGGTAATTAAATATAGATAATTTTATATGTTTATAGTGAGGTGTCCTGGCTTGCTTTCTATTGTTGTGGAAAACACCATGAAGAAAGCAACTTGAGGAGAAAAGGATTTATTTTGTCCTACAGGGCATAGTGCATCATGAAGGGACATCAGGGGAGGAACTCAAGCAGGAGCAGAGGCAGGGGCCATGGAGGAACAACGCTTGCTTTACTGGCTCATTCTTCATGGCTTGCTTAGCTCAGCTACTGTTGGTTCCTTTCTTTCTCTCCTTCTTTCTTTTTTAAAATTTTTAAGGGTGTCTCTATGTAGCCCTGACTGTTCTGAAACTCCCCACGCAGATCAGGCTTCCCTTGCCTATGCCTCCCTGGTGCTGAGAGTAGAGGCAGGTGCCACTACACCTGGCTTCAGCTTCTTTTCTTATACAACCCAGGACCCTGTGCCCAGGGCTGGTACAGAACACAGTGGCCTGAGCCTTCCCACATCAATCATCAATCAAGACAATGCCCCACAGACCAGTCTGACGGAAGCAGTTCTTTGGTCGAGGGTCCTTCTTCCCTGAGGACTCTTGTTTCTGTTCAGTTGACAAAACCTAAACCGCATTTGAGGCTTGTTTGTTCTTTTCTCGGTCAGTTGTTCCTGGTTGTTGATCTCCGCAGATGGGAGATAGGGATTAGTCACACTTCTCAGACGCAGAATTTCTCAGCTTGTGTGACAGGGTCAGTACAGGGCTCTTGAGGCTGTGTCTGAGAAGCGCTTCTTCACCTGGTGTTTGGGTCATTGTCCTCAGTGGCTCTTTCCTTTTCTCTTCCCCTCTTCTTTCCAGTTAAGAGGACTAACGACTCAGGTGACCCCGTTTGCGCTCTGCTTTCTGTCCATCACTGTTCTCATTTTCAGGGTGAGTGCAGTCAGGCCCTTCCCATCTCTGACTGAGTGCAGAGGCATGGGTGTAGTGTCTGGAGGGTGGTCTGACTTCTGAGGTGGGGAGCGTTTTCTCTCAACTTGCGGGGAAATCCCCTCCCCCCATTTTCTTTTCCTTGCTTAGAGGGGGCACGGTGGGAACGAGAAGGGCAGAATCTGGTTCTCTTGAGGGTCTGGTAGACCGAAGAGGGGATCAGTGTCATGATCACAGAAGGCCACAGTCATAGGTCTTGATGGGCTGTCTGTTACTTGTCAGAGGTACATCTCTAAGGATCTGGGATAGATGCAGAGTTGCCAGGTCCAGCCATTCCTGATCATTCCACCCCAGGCCTGGCCACTTTGACCTTTATAATGGGCAGAGGGGAAAGAGGGATGTCTTCTATAATGGGCAGAGGGAAAGAGGGATGTCTTCTTGCTGTAAGAGGAGGACTTTGCATGCTCCTTGTCCCAGGTGCACTAGTCGGGTTTCTGAAGGAGTGGGCAGGAGAGGCCAGGCCCTGCTGTGCTGGTCACACCCGGGTGGCTGACTCAGGTGGGGAGGGCTGTGACAGCCTGTTTGTTTCTGCTTTGTTAGTTTTCAGTGTGTGAGCTGCTGTGGGGAAGGTTGATAGAACTCTGGGGTCCAGAGCTAGAGGTGAGACTAGGGCAGGAGAAGAGGACCTGTCCCAGCCTTGCATGCGGCTCTCCAGCACTGTCAACAAGCAAACTAAAGAACATACAGTATACATAGAGAACAACAGTAGTTGTCAGTCGAGAACTTGGTACATCTCTGCCTGGAAACCTTGGCTTCAAAGTAAGCGCTTGTCATAGTCAGCTTGAACTGATAGATGATGGCTTAAACAATAGAGATCCAGGCTGGAGAGATACTCAGAGGTTAAGAACACTGACTGCTCTTCTGGAGGTCCTGAGTTCAATTCCCAGCAACCACATAGTGGCTCACAACTATCTGTAATGAAATATGGTGCCCTCTTCTGCAGATATACATGCAGGTAGAACACTAGATACATAGTATAAATCTTAAAAAATCATGAAACCAAACAAAACAACAGCTGGAAGTCACAGATCAAGATCCCCCCTAACTCCTGCCTTGCACATGGCTACCGTCTTGCTTTGTCTTCATACGATGGAGTGAGAACTCTGATTTTTCCTCCTTTGCTTAGGACAGGAATCCTGTCAGATCAGGGCCCCACCCTTGTGGCTCATTTAACGTTGGTTATGTCTTAATGACACTACTTCTTTTTTTTAAAAATTTTATTTTATTTGTTTATTTATTTTGGTTTTTTGAGACAGGGTTTCTCTGTAGCTCTGGAGCCTGTCCTGGAACTAGCTCTTGTAGACCAGGTTGGCCTCGAACTCACAGAGATCCACCTGCCTCTGCCTCCCAAGTGCTGGGATTAAAGGCGTGCGCCACCACTGCCTGGCAAGATTTATTATTTATTAAGTATGCAGTGGTTTGTCTGCACGTCTGCCTGCAGGCCAGACCTCATTACAGATGGTTGTGAACCACCATGTGGTTGCTGGGAATTGAACTCAGGACCTTTGGAAGAGCTGGCAGTGCTTTTAACCTCTGAGCCATCTCTCCAGCCCTGACACTACTTCTTATAAAGCCAGATCATAGTGTTTTGAAAGGACACAGCCCAACCCATCAGGACTTATCTCTTCCCTTCCTCCTCTGTGCTCCCATTAAGTCTAATAGCCATGTCTTTGTCTGTTTTCTACTCTGCTTCTTGCTCCCTAGGTTAAGCCCTTGTTATTTCACTGGGACAGAAGCCTTCTCAAATGCCCTTCTTGCCACCAGTTTCTTATTTCTCCAATTCAACCGTGCCAGTCTTACTAGAGTTCTTGTCCTAAATAAAAGGCCCCTCATGTCATTTTTTTCTTCCCAAAGCCCTCAGTGATGTCTCCTTCTTACAGGGCATGGGACTTTCCATGTCTGACCCCTGCCATGCATGCTATGGTTCCGTGCTCGAGAACCTGCAAGCATCAGTCACCCCTTGCTCCTTGTCTGGAGTGCTTTCCTCCTCCTTCAGTGGGAACTGTCCTCGTCTTAGTGCTCTCAGAGCAGGTGCTGAAGTCACATTGACTTCTGGCCCTGAATAGCATGCACAGGGGCATCACTGACTATAATGGCCTCTCTGTGTCCTAGGGTGTGCTGACACCTGCGGGTCTGTGTTTTCAGTGTCACTGGGGTTTTCTGACATATGCAACATTTTGGGGTATTCGCTTGGGAGGGATACAAAGTTCAACTCCTCAAAGGTTTATTTATTTTTGTGTTATGTATATGAATAGTGTTGGCCTGCACATACGTGTACGATGTATGTTCCTGATGCAGGCAGAGGCCAGAAGATGGTGTCAGATCCCTTGGCGCTGGAGCTACAGAAGGTTGTGAGCCACCACATGGGTGTTAAGGAATTGAACCCAGGTTTTCTGGAAGAGTAGCCAGTGCTTTTAACCACTGAACTGTCTCTCCAGTCCTCAAGATAAACATATTAGAGAGCTAGTCTTGAAGATGCTTGTGGTGCATTATGTGTTCTCTAACCTTGGGCAGGACCAAGTCAGGGAAATTACCTAGGCACAGAGTTTGCGGAGCTCTGAGCTGCAGGCAGGCTCCTTAGCCATGCTGGTTTGCAGGGTCTGGTGTGGCCTAGATGCTGTGACTCAGCTCAACTTTTCTATTCCAGGCCAACTCACTGATTTTTTTTCTTTGGATAGGGTCTCTGGGATCTAGATAGTTCTGCCAGGCTGAATCATGGCTAGACGACCCTTCGTCTTAGGTGACCAGTTGATTCTGGAGGAAGATTCTGATGAGACCTACGTCCCTAGTGAGCAAGGTAAGAGGCTTTGAGGGGTTGTGATCATCCTCTCAGGGCAGACATTATATTTGATTTTACTTAAACAATTTTTAAGAAATTAACTTATGTGTATGGATGTTTTGTTTGCCATGTATATGTATGCTGCATGTGTGCAGTGCTGGCAGAGACCAGAAGAGGGCATCAGATTCCCAGGAACTGGAGTTGCAGATGGTTACGAGCCACCATGTAGGTGCTGGGAACTGAATCTGGGTCCTCTGCTAGAACAGCCAGTGCTCTTAACCACTAAGTCCAACTCCCTGGTTTGCTTTTGTTCTTCCAATACAGTGTTAGTCTGTGCTCAGGGCTGCTCAGTATATTTGGGTTAAATCAGAGTGCGGGGGGCCATCCTGGCCTGCAGGAATGAACGCCACCAAAAACGAGAATTCCTTCTCTGGTCACATCTTTATTTGGAGCATTCCCTTGATTGAGGAAAATTGGGGGAAGGGAAGATAGAGCAGGGACGAGAGAAAGCTTAGAGAGAGAGCGTTGGGCCCCGAGGCAGTTGCTTTTAAATGGTGGAGCGGCTTGAACGCTGTCCTGATTGGTTAATGCCATTCTGCTGGTCTGAGCATGTGCAGGCAAGGGTGCTCAGCCCCACGTGGCTACCTCCAAACTGCAGGACCACCTGTGCCTCCAGGTGGCTCCCAACATCAGAGGTTGACAAACTATAGTCTTTGGGCCCAAGTTGGCAAACTTGCTTGTTTTGTACAAGAGCTAGTTCCAGGACAGGTCCCAAAGCTACAGAGAAACCCTGTCTCGAAAAAACACAAAACCAAAAAAAAAAAAACCCCAAAAACCCTTTTATTGGCAGACAGCCATGCTTATTTATAAAGCCTCTGTGATTATCTTGTCTTCATGCTATGATAGCCATGTCAAATAATTGTGACAGACTTATAACCTCCAAAGTTTACATATTTACTGTCTGGCCCTTTATAGAAAATGTTTGCTGACCTTGGAGATCATATTGATTTTAATGAGATAGTATAGGGAATATTGTGAAATATGACATGTTAATCCAATTTCTTTAGAACAAACTAAGGCTGGCATGTTGACATTCCCTGCAATCTAAGCATTTAAGGGGCTAAGGCAGGAGGATTGCTACAAGTTAAAGGCCGGGACTACTGAATGAGAGTGAGGCCAACCTGAGCAACATAGTCTCAAAAACAACAACAAAAATAACAAGGTTGTGGCTCAGTTGGTGCTTGCCTAGCATGCATGAAACCCTGGGTTTGGTTTTAGCATCTCATAAATCCGGGTATGAAGGTACAGCTCTCAGGAAGAGAGAGAGAGCGTGTGTGTGTGTGTGTGTGTGTGTGTGTGTGTGTGTGCAGGACAGTAAGGGAGGATCTGCAGTTCATTGCCATGTCACTGGGTGGTGAGTTTAAGGTCCTCTTTTAAAAAAAATAGCAAAAAGAAAAACAAAGTAGCATTATTAATTTATGTTTCTTTGTTCTAGTCTTTGTTTTAAAAACTTTGTATTAATTTCCCTTTCAAAGGCACAGCAAGCCTTTAATCCCATGCTTGGGAGGCAGAGGGAGGATCTCTGAATTCCAGACCAGGCTGGTTCACGAAGTGAGTTCCAGGCCAGACAAGGCTACATAGCAAAATCCTCTCTCAGGCAATCACAACAAAACCCAAAAAGCAACCCCACAGTAACCTGTGAGTCAGGTCCTGTCCTTGTCCCCACCTATGAGAGAGATTCAGGGAGGGTCCTGTAGCTCCACACTGCGCTGAGTGGCAGAGCCCGGCCTTTCCACCCTGAAGTGCTTTGCTGTTCAGGGATTGAAATTTACTCTGACATTTGGAAGCAACATTTCATTGTTCCTGAAATTCAAGTTGTGTATCCCTCACCTCTTTCAAATATCAAAATGCTCCAAAATCTGCCTTTTGGATGAGATATTTCTGATGAGGGGTGTAACCTCTAAACTCCATGCAAATACTCCAAAACTGGAAAGGAATTGAAATCTGTAGCATGTCTGGTCCTCAGCACTTTGGGGAAAAGATGCTTGACTTCTATTTTATTCTATACCCCTGGCTGTCCTGGAACTTGCTATGTAGACCAGGATGGCCTAGAACTCACAGAGATCCTCCTGCTTCTGTATCCTGAGTGCTGGGATTTATTTTTCTTATTTTTTTAGATGGGATCTTGCTATGTAAGTCAGGCTGGTCTTCGACTGACAGTAATCCTGTTGCCTCCTCCTCTGGAGCATCAGGGGCACAGGTATGTGCTACCTTGCCTGATTTTCGTAAAGGTTTTTTTTAGGCTTTTTCTTTTTTATAAAAACTTTTCTGCCAAAGTCTAGCTTCTGGTACCGCAGCCATACTACCTTCTCTGCCTCCGTGGCTTCCTGCTTAGCTCTCTGTTCTTAAATCTGCATTGTCTGGTCTGTGTCCCACCTACTAGCGGCGATCTTACAGGGAGAAATTGATTGTTTCCAGGCTGGATTCAATGCCCTTCCACATAGTCAGTATCTTTGGTGAGGTTTCATAGTTCTTTGTGACATGGCTCTCCCACCTTGCCAGTTGAGTTGTGCCATTATGTTGGTTTCTGGCAGTCCCCAGATGGACTAAGTTATATCTTGCCCTAGGTCTATTGTGCTGGCTCTGTTGTGCAGAACTACAAAAGGCAAAGTTATTTAATAAGTCATTCTCTGTCCAGTTAAGTGTCAGTGACCCTTCAGAAAAAGTGTTATTTCCTAGTCCCCAGGTATGTCACCCTCTGTTTCTCCACGGAGATGCCTTGTATTGGTGCTGTCTGTCTGGCCTGGACTAGACTCAAGCCTGGGTGTTTATTTTATTATTCCGGTGGTCACTGGTCACATGTTCCAATGGACATATCACCTATTCTTTTCCCCAGAGATGAGATTGCTCTTAATATCATAGTACGTAGTCTCGTCTGTCCTCCAGATTGCTGGCAAAGGGCTCTCTAATTGATTCGGGGAGTAGAGCAGAAGTGGAGTCCAGAGTATATGGTGCAATTGAGTGAGAGGCAATCGCCTTTCAGAAGAGGGGTTCACTGGAGGTGGAAGAGGCCACCTGAGTATCATCTACTGTCTCAGCTGGACACCTTCCTGTCCCTCAGAGAACCAGGCGCTGCCTTCTCTCTGCTACAGTGGCACACAGTACAAGCCATCGTCACAACACACACTATTTCATGTTTGTGTGTTCACAAGGTCCTTGAGGAGCTTAGTCATATGCAGTTGATACTCATTTGGGGCTTGAGGGCCAAGTGCATTGGAGCCCAGCTCTTGTAAATCTTCTGAGAGTTTATCTTTTGGTAAGGTTGCCCTCATTCTAGATGGTTCCGGCTGTGGCCTGGGTCCTTCCTGAGGCCTCCCCACTGTGAGGTTCCGGCTGTGGCCTGGGTCCTTCCTGAGGCCTCTCCACTGTAGAGTCTTGGTTTCATTACTCTCTCCTTTTGTGAACTGTGACTTCAGATTATATTTGTGGAAGTTTGGAGGTAGCATGACTTGATTTAGATGCCGTTTATAAATTGTGATGTAAGGAAACCGTTCTGTATGTCTGTTTGTTTATTAAAGCTTTTTAATAATTAAGATGGTCTCAAGTAGCTCAGTTGGCCTTGAACTCACTGTGGAGCCAAGGATGACCTTGAACTCTTGATCCTCCTGCCTCTTCCCGAGTGCTAGAATTATGGGTGTGTACCACCACATCCAGCTTTAGTTCTGTATATTTATTATTTATATTTAGAGAAACCATATTTTATCATTTACAGGAACTTGACGAGTAAAGGAAAATCCAGAAAAGAATTGACTCAATTTTGCTTCTTATACACCTCTCCCTCCTCCTCTCTTCTCTCTTACCCTCCCACCTTCCTTCTTCACCCTCCTCCTCTTTTTGCAGAAATCCTTGACTTTGCCAGAGTGATTGGTATTGACCCCATCAAGGAACCAGAACTGATGTGGCTGGCGAGGGAGGGTATTGAAGCGCCATTGCCCAAGGGCTGGAAACCATGGTAAGTCATTACAGTAGCTCACTAACTTGGCCTGTCAGAGATAGAGGGACCTGACTCTGGGATTCAGTGGGGTGTGTGTGTGTGTGTGTGTGTGTGTCTGTGTGTATATACATGTGTCTATGTGTGTGTAGATCAGATGTATACTGCCTTGCCTGTTGTAAGTGTATAACTGTTTTATCTGCATATATGTGTGTGCACCATGTATGTGCTTGGTACCCGCAGAAGCCCAAACAGAACTTCAGATTCCTTAGAATTGTAGTTAGAAATGGTTGCTAGCCATCATGTGGATGCTGGGAATTAAACTCTGGTCTTCTGCAGGAGCAGCAAGCGCTTGTAACTGCTGAGCCATCTCCCCACCTTACTCTCCCCATGCACACCTCTCTATCTTACCCTCCTTATTCTCGGCTCCTCTCACTCGACAGGCTCCCTGTTCTGTTGCTCTTTCAGCAGACTCTCCTTGGACTATCTCCAGGTTCACATCTTTCTTCTAGGAAATCTGTTAGCGCTTCCGACTGTGTTCCCGGTGCTGAGAACTCAAGCTTGTGTTTGGAAGCTAGCGCTTTGTTTTGTCCCAGTGCCCTTCCTGCTGGAGGGTGGGAGGCTGTCTGGTTTAGGGCCAGCTGTCTTCGTGTACCTGCTCGTGTGGCTGGCACTCCCCTGTCCTACTGTTTTTCATTTTCTAAAAAATGTAAGTTATTAAAAGTTATTTGTATATGTCATGTTTTATCCCATTCTCTTTCCCAAGCCTAGTTACTGCCAATTGGTAAATTCCTCCTAGAACTTTTAGCACACACACTCCACTTACGGTTTTGTTGTTTTAATCATAACTGTTACGTTATGTGTGCTGTTGCTCTATGTCAGTATAATGTTTTTTTTCTTTTGAGACAGTCTTGTTATGTAGGCGAGGATGGCTTCAAACTTGTGATCCTTCTGGTTCAGTCCTTTGAGTTCTCGGATTGCAGGTGTGTACCACCGTGTCTCAGTTTGTTTTTCTTCTTAGATAAGGTCTCATGGGGTCTCAGGTTGGCTTTCACCTTATGTTGTAGCTGAGGATGACCCAGGACTCCTAATCTTTTTGCATGTGTTGAGGTTATAGGTGTTTTGTTTTTTTTTAAACAAGGTTTTACCATGTAGCCGTGGACTTATGATCCTCCTCCTCTGCCTTCTGAATGCTGGGGTTATAGGTGTGTGCCACAATGCTTGGTTTACCTGCCTGTAATAGTTTAATTTGTCACCGTGACAAAATACTTTAACCAAAGCAACTTGGGGAGGGGGGTTTGCTTCAGCTCCTAGTTCTAGCTCCCAGTCCATCATGCTGAGAAGTTCAGGGGCACCCAGGGCACCAGTCACAAATGTGGTGCACAGACATACATGCAGACAAAACACCCATAGTCACTGGGAAAAAAAACCTGTTTCTGTATTCCCTGCTGTCTGCCGTCGATGTGCTCGTGTGGTCTGTGCTCTTCTCGCCTGATCACATGGCTTTATAATAAGTCTTGAAATCTTTCAGGGTAGGTATTCTAACCCTGTTCCCAGTTTTCCTTTAGTATTATTGTGATTTTAATATTTGTGGGTATTTTGCATGCATGTATGTATGTGTACCACATGCATACTTGGTGCCTGAGAAGCTGGAAGAAGGAGTTGGATGCCTTGTAACTAGAGTTGCTGGCGAATGTTACCCTGTGGGTGCTGGCAATTGAACCTGGGTCCTCTAAGAACCCCAGTGCTCTCAATGTTGAGCCACCTCTCCAGTCCCTTGTTCCCGTTTTCAAAGTCTCACTCGAAGTTCTTTGCATTTCCATGTCTTGTCATGTTACTGTTTGGATTGGGACTGCACGTAAGTCAGTGTGAGGGGAGCAGGCATCTTAAATGATATTGAATCTTCCAGCCCACGAACACGGTCTGTTTCCATTTATTTAGGCTTCCTTTAATATCGCTCAGAAATGTTTAATAGCTTTTGTGTACATGTGTTGCCTCTCTTTATCAGATTTATCCTTAAGTAGTTCATATTTGATGCCTCTGTAAGTGCTGTATTTTTAGTTTCCAATTCTTTGTTGCTTTTATAGAGAAGTAAAATTGGTTTCTGTATATTGATCTTGCACTGTACAACCTTGCTAAAATCAATTATGTCAGGCCTAGTAGCTTTATTTATTTATTTTTTTAAGATTCCATAGGATTTTCTGCAGAAGTGATTGTGTCTCCTAAGAATAAAGGTATTTTGCCTCCTACTTTCTAATCTTGTTGCCTTTTCTTTCTGTTTTGTACCTCAGTGACTAGAGCCTTCAGCATCATTATGTAGAGGCAATGATGGGGAATGTCTTTGCTTTGTTCCTGATCTTAGGGTGGACTCTATCATTTGTTCATCATTCGGTAGCTTCTGAGTGTGCTTCCTGTAGGTGCCCTCTGTCCGTAGAGTTTGTGTGTAACATGAATTCTGATTATTCTTAATGATAAAAACTCGGAGTCAGGAGCCAGGCGGTGGTGGCACATGCCTTTAATTCCAGCACTCAGGAGGCAGAGGCAGGCGGATCTCTGTGAGTGAGTTCAAGACTAGCCTGGTCTACAAGAACTAGGTTCAGGACAGGCATCAAAGCTACACAGAGAAATCCTGTCTCAAGAAACCAAAGAGAAAAACCAAAGAACAGTAACAGCAGCAGCAGCAAAAACTCAGATATTAGGGTGTGACAGCTGAAGGTTTGGAGAAGCAGAGCGACAGCCACTAGAATGTTCTTACCTCTACCAGTGCTCAGACTGAAGGGCTGATCCTGTCCTCAGACTGCCTCCTGAGATTTCTTCAGACTACTCCTCAGAATGTGTCCTCGGACTGCAACTGTCTCCACCAAACCTCAGACTGCATTGAGCTCCTGTCTCCTCCTGCCATACATTCAATCCTCTCTCCACCCAGCCACATCACTCCTGTCTCCACCTCCCTAGTGTTGGGACGCCTTTGTAAGCTCTTTTAGATTCTCTTTTAGATTCAATCCCATGTAGCCCAGGTGGCCTTGAACTAACAGAGATCCCTCTGCCTCTGTCTCCTGAGTGCTGGAATTAAAGGCATGTGCCACCACTGCCTGGGATTAAAGGTACGGGCCACCACTTCTTGGCCTTGAGTGGTTTAGCTCTGCCCTCTGATCTTCAGACAAGCTTTTCTTGTTAAAACATAAATAAAATATCACTACATTTGTGCTGTTGCTGGTACTTTGAAGAAAAGATGGATGGATTTTACTTAGCACTTTTCTATGTCTCTTGATAAAATTAGGTGGTTTTCTTTTTAATCTTTTCTTACAGTCAATTTATTGATTGATTTTTCAATTTTTTTTATCAATTTTAAATTGCTTTTATTGATTCATTTTTTGTTGGGGGGGGCATGCCACAGTACTTGTAAGAATGATGTCAGAGGACAACCTGGGAATTGGTCCTATCCTTCTAACGTGTGGGATCCTGGAAGGGAACTCCGTTTCTCAAGCTTGACCATAGCACCTTTACCAGCTGAGCTATCTCTGTGACCCAGATTTCATATTCCTGGGGTAGCTCCACTTGGTCATGATGTATGATCATTTTTATATTTTATGGGATTTGATCTTGTAAAATTGCATTAAGTGTTATTGCATCTGTGTCCATGGGGGGAAACAGGTCTATAGTATCATTTTCTCCTAATGTCTTTATCTTGTTTTGTGCCATGTTTCTGTTCTCATAGAATGAGAATTTCTTCCTCTTTAGGTTTATGGACGAACTTGTGTAGGGTTGCTGTTATTTCTGCTTTAAATATTTGATGGAATTTACTACTGCAATCATCTGGGCTTAGAATTTTCTTTGTGGGAAAAGTTTTAACTTTAATTCAGTTCTAAAAAGAGAACACTGTGTGTGTATAAGTGGACAAAAGCAAAAGCAAAGGCAGGAGGATTGCTGTAAGTTCAAGGCCAGCTCAGTCTGGTCTACATAGGTAGTTCCTGTCCAGCTAGGACTCCATAATGAGACCCTTTCTCATCCTTGCACCCATGAGATATAAAGTATTCAGGTCAGTTCTCTGCTTTGTTCTTTGAGACAGGGTCTCTCCATGTAGCCCAGGACTGACTTTGTAAACTAGGCTGGCCTCAAATTGAAAGAGATAATGACCTTGAACTTTAGGTTCTCCAAGTTCCACATCCTGAGATTAGAGGGTTGGAGCAGAAAGTACTGATTCAAGTACTGTGCATAGAATACTGTATATAAAAAAAATAAAAATTACTTACATGTATATGTGTGTGTCTACTTGTCTGTATGTACAGCGTGAATGCAGGTGCCTGAGAAGGTCAGAAGAGGGTGTCAAGAGTCTGGAACTGCTAGGCAATGGTGGCACACGCCTTTAATCCCAGCACTTGGGAGACAGGCAGGCAGTGAGTGTGAGGCCAGCCTGGTCTACAAGAGCTAGTTCCAGGACAGGCTCCAAAGCTCCAGAGAAACCCTGTCTCGATAAACAAAAACAAAAACAAAACAAAACAAAAAAAGAGTCTAGAACTGGAGTCACAGGCAGTTGTGAGCTACTATATGGGAGATGGGAATTGAGCTATATTCCCAGGTCTGGTCAGTTCTTTGGGAATGAATCTTGGTAGTTTATTTGTTTTTGTTTTATTTTGTATATATACATATATATTTGCATATGAAGGTCAGAATAGTATGTCAGATCCTCTGAAACTAGAATTATAAGCCATTATAAACTTTACCAGGTGGGTACTCGCAATTAAACTTGGCCCTCTGGAAGAGCAGCCAGTGCTCTTGCTGAGCCTTCTCTCCAGCCCCATTAAAAAAAAAAAATCAACTAGTTTATTTTTAGTTGTCTCTTTTCCTTGAGTAATCTTTCAGAAGTTTGTTACTTGTTAAAAAATAAGAAAAAAATCAACAAAGAAAGGGAAAAAAAGAAGTGAACTGCTCTTGCAGCATTGAATGTCCATATTTTATCTTCCGTGTCTAATTTATTTCTTATATTTAAATATATCATCTTGTCTCCCATGTTGTATTCTGAATAATTTCCTAAGTTTATTTTTCAATTCCTTATTTGTTTATTCTTTAGTGTAAAACTAGATGTTTAACACACTTTAAGAAATAAATAATGGGCTGGAGAGATGGCTCAGAGGTTAAGAGCACTGACTGCTGTTCCAAAGGTCCTGAGTTCAATTCCCGGCAACCACATGGTGGCTCACAAGCACCCTTAATGAGATCTGGTGCCCTCTTATGGCCTGCAGGGATATATTCAGGCAGAACAGTGTATACATAATAAATAAATCCTTAAAAAAAAGAAATAAATAACTATCCATTGCTATGTTATTTTATATATTTCAGTATTTATCCTTTTTTAAAGAATTATGTTTTTGCCGGACCTTAGAAAGGACTAACTTCTGCACTCTCTCACTCCTAGCCAGAACATCACAGGTGACATTTACTATTTCAACTTTAACACTGGTCAGTCCATTTGGGACCATCCATGTGATGAGCACTATCGAAAGTTGGTCATCCAAGAGCGGGAGAAGTGGTTGGCTCCTGGGGCCATTAAGAAGAAAGACAAGAAAAAGAAAAAGGAAAAGAAAAACAAGAAGGACAAAGAGACGTCCAAAAGTCCTCTGGTGAGTCAGCCTGAGACGAGCTCCTCCACAGGGCTGCAGCCCAAGGGGTGTGGGGAGCCTCCAGGAGTGAAAACAGTAGTGAACTCTTGAGGGCATTGTCTGATTTTACCTGGTGGCTTTTTTCTTTCAGCTTCCAGCAGTTGTTACTTCTCTAAGTAATTCCTTCTCTCTCCTTGGGGAGCGTGTGCTACACGGCAGGGTTAGTGACAGTGTGAGGTCAGCGGCACACTGTCAGGGCAAGGACTGTGTTTTGCATTTGACAAAGAAGTGGCACTGTTTCCCACTCTGGAAGGCTGGGGAGCAGGGAGATGGGCACAGTTGACGAGTTGGCAGCAGGCCGCCCTGGTGTGGGTCATTGTTACCCTAAAATAGTCATGACACCAGTGCCTTCAAGTTTGAAAAGAAAAGCTGGGCTTGGTGGTGCATGCCTGCAATCCTAGTGCTTGGAAGGCTGAGACTGGAGGATCACAATTTTGAGGTCAACCTGTAACTGATACGTACATGCCCTTGGCTTTTTTGACGTCATCCGTGGTCTTTGTGGCCAGTGTCCTTGGCTAGTGGGGGGTAGCAGCAGTTAAACAGTATCGCACTCCCCGTGGTCTCCAGTAGCTTTTGTACTGAGTCCAGAGGACTCTTCCCATTATTTGTCACTCAGCATGTCTGAATGTAGGAGGCGGAGGTGACCACACTTACTTCAGGAGGAGCTGAGCGAGAGCCTTACTAATGTGAGACCTTGTGGTTCAGGACAGACTCTGTGCCCTCTGTGCAGGTGTGGGGCCGGCAGCCTGCAGCAGCAGCTCCGTTCAGCCCTGTGAGGAGCCACGTCTACAGCCCAGTTCTCCTTTCCTAAAGTGTCGGTTCTGGCCTGAACTGTCATGTTCAGGTTCCCTGGCTGCTCCGCATCCCTTACCTCCCCCCAGCTTTATGCACGGTTTCTTACAGAAGAATGCAGACAGGTGCTTTCCAAATAGAATCTTAGAATTTTCTAATATCATCATGTATTTGAAAAGCAGAAGGTGAATGCTAGCCTAGGATAATCTGAAATGGTCTTTTGGCATCTAGCAGGCCCCAGCCTGACTCAAGGTGGGCTTGGGTGACAAACTTGGCTCTGAATGTGTGTTTGAGACCCAGAAGCTCCTTGTTAGAAAGGATCCCTCTTTCTAGGAAAGACAGCTGGGTAGCCCTGCGTCCCCGGTAGGATTCTGACGGCTCAGGCCAGGCACCTTAAGCTTGAGTTAGCGAGTGGTCAGGCCTGAGGATCAGGGGCTATGTAGGCTCAGGGGTCTGGGCCTCTGGAGATGTGTGCTCCCAGCTGTCTGGTTGGTGTATTTACAGAGGGTGGCTTATTATCCTAAGGCTTTCTGGTAGCCCCAAGATTCTGAGACTGGAAGTCTTTTAAGCAGTGCCAACCAACCTGTGCTGGCGGTAGAAGGCATTTGGCTGAGTTTCCAAGACTTCCTCTCTTCTTTTCCTCATGGGACATTTCTGGGAGTCCTTGATAAGGCTTTTATAAAGTTAGCTGATCATGAATCTGAGGGCTTGAGGAAGCTTAGGGACTGGTCACACGATTGTGGTCTCCTGGCTTTGGTGAGGGGTAAAGTGCTGTCTTCAGATGGCTGCTCTGTGAGGCCAGCTTAAAAACAAACAGGGCTACTCTGGTTTACCGGGGACTGTGGTTCTCTTCCTGGTCAAGCATATTGTAGCCTTCACACTGTGGGAGCACGCTAGGAACCGAGTGCCCAGGGATCTATGGAGCAATGTTTATAGGCTGTTAACATGGTTGTTGTTGGTTTTTCCCCCTCTCTTTAGAGGGGGGCTAGAACCTAGAAAGGGGCGTATATTTAGCCTAAGGGAATTTTGGCCTTTCTTCTCTCTCTGTCTGATTTCTGCTTTACTTTAAGGAGGGTGGTTTTCTGCTGTGGGTCTTGGGCTGAGGTAGCAAGAATCCATCAGCCCCTATTTTCTCTGCATGTTTATATACCCATCTAGGAGACACAGCCTGAGCAGGGACTTCTGCCTTCTTCCTCCTTTCACCGCGGCCTGTCCCCTCTCCCAGCACCTGGGCTTGCTGACCTGGACCTAGACCAAGAGGTGCAGGTTAGAAGCGAGGCCTCCTTTAAGAAAGGGAGGAGCCTGTGCATGCCGGGCGACACCCCATGGCCCCTCATGGGTGCCCTTCCTGGCAAGCTGCAGCCACTCTCCAAAGGCCAAGCTCCTCGGACCCACCAAATCTTTGCTGACGTGGAGAAAATCTTAGGCAGACCTCCGGTCCAGTGCAAGACAGAGTCAGGAGACCCACAGGGTCTGGAGTTAACTCAGAAAGCAACAGAGAAAATCTACCTGGAATTTTCAGACCCTGAAATAGAACAGCTGGAACTGAGGAGCAGACAGCAGAAACCTGGCACGGGGGCCGCTCAGATCCCTGAGCCGCTCAAGAATGGGCAGGATGCGTTAGAATGCAGGAGCCAGACTCCTGTCCACTCTAAATTTCCCGAAGCCCCCAGAGGCCTGCAGCTGAAAGGGGAGCAGCGTAGTCACAGCGTAGCCACACTGAGCTGCACTGGCCCTGGAGGGGACAAAGGTCAGAGCCCCATTCCTTTGCCATCCTCTGAGGAGGAGCCCTCCCTGTCCCTCTGTTCATCTGACCATGCACTGCCTTCCAGGAGAAGCAAGCTGTTTTTACTAGAGAGCAGCCCAGCAGAAGACTTGAGCTGGCAGGGAGTTCCTGGGGAAGGTGGGGATCTGGGTAGGGGGAGATGGAGGAGAGAGCCTCCGGGACTGTGGATGGGACAGGTCTCCAAGCTTGTCAACAAGGACACCACAGAGAGCTGCAAGGAAGTGGAGCCTGCTGCTCCCGAGGTTCCAGAGGCCTCAGCTGAAGATGCACCACAGGGCCTCTTCTTGATGCCACCTGATAACCTGGCATCAGAACTAGCTTCAAAGCCCCCTTCAGGGGATTCTGACAGTAAAGGGAGGCACCATCTACACGAGTCTCCGGAGTTTCCCAATGAAGATAGGGAGCCTAGTGTGCCCGGGGCTGACTCGGATAGCAGTAGTGGAGGGGGCAGCAGCCTGGCCTCTCCCCTTGGCTCACAGGTCCTAGGTGAGGTAAGCAACTTCCCCTGGGACCTGCAGAGCCCCCAGGGCTGTTTTCCTATCGTGGGTCAGTCAGACCCAGGGCCTAGAGATGTGCGTTTCTGCCCTTTCCTGGTGCCCCAGTTGCCCCCCACACAGAGCTCTGCTGAGGAGAAGTCAGAGAGTGAAGACTACTCTGAGGACCAGAGATTCTACCAGCACATTCTGCAGATGGTCAAGCTCTCCAGACGGCTGGAGGGTCTGGAACTGCCTGAGAACGTGCAGGAAATGCCGTGCAAAGACGTCGCCGGCATGGTCTGTGGCATGGCCACCGAGTCATCCAGGATGTGTAGTGAGGGTGAACACAAGGCCATCAGAACTCAGGAGAGGGACTCGGAGCTACTGGCTTGGGGGCCGGAGCTGCTGGAACATTCTCCAGAAGTGGTCTCTGCCTCTGCCAGGCAGGAGCTCTCTCAGCAAGCACAGTGCCAGCTAAGCAGTGGCCTCAAGCAAGGGCTAGTCCAGCCGAGTTCTGACACCGGGCTTGCTGCAGAGCCAAGCAAGATGCAGCTTCTCAACCAGGTAGGCTTCTTAGAAAGTGGGGCCTAAGCGCAGAAGGGGCAGGAACAGGTAGAATTGTTCCTGCTCCAAAGCCTTCTCAGGTCTGCTTTCTTGATGCTAACCCTCCTTCAGTACCCGAGGATCCCTTAACTACCTGCAGACTAGAGCTGAGGGCATCTCTGGGTTCTCTTGCCTAGGTGTAGCCTTGCTCTTGCGTGAGTTATAGGCTTTGAACGGAGTTTTAGGGTGGGCAGAGTGGTACCCGTGCTGGCCCTTAGACAGAATCCAGGCCCTTTCTGGGGTTTGGGAAATCTTTCCTACCAGCCGATTCTCGAGAAGAGCTGTTCACAGCACGTACTCATCCCCAAAGCATTGCATTTTCCTTCCTGGAGGCAGGCACACAGCACTGCCATGCAGCTGCTTCTGCTCCTTGCCTTCCAGGGTCCCCAGAAAAATCACATGGCTAGCCTATGTCAGGTTGTGTGGACCCTATTTGTGACTTCCCTTCCCTACCGGGCGGGGCTGGCCTTGTCATTCTTTCCCTTTGTCCCTTTCGAGAGTCACCCAGTTCTTCATTCAGAAATCAAGTCAGACAGGACCACGGGGCTCAGTCTGAATTCCCTTAGGTGTTCCGCTGTGGCCCAGCTGCGACTTTACCCAGTTGTTCCCTCTGGTCCCTAATTGCCGACACACACTGGTTCTCTGTTAGCCCTAATAACTAGTGTAGTACTATAAATATCAGATAAGCCATAGATTATCCTGAAAGTTTTAATTAGCCCAATGGCATCAAGTTTATCAGCTCTGAAGGACAATGGCACGCACAGGCCCATGCTCAGAGTTAATGGCCATCTATAGAAGATGATCAGCTCGGAGCCAGGGATGTATAATTTCCCTGCTAACCACTGATTCAGTAAAGGCCCAAGAGAACAAAGGCCTCAGCACGCCTGTCTCCCTCCCTCAGGCCCCCAGCACGTTAGCAAATTAGCCATGTTAGGAGTCTGTAATTTTCTATAAATACAGTGTGGGAAGGATTTCGCTTGCTGATATGCTTGGACTGGTGGAAGGGCTGAGCAGGCGGGGCAGGTTCAGCTTCCTGCACTGCTTCCGACCACAGTCATGAGACCATACAAAATCCCCTCTCCAAGATAATCCTGGACTCAGTCCCCTCTCTGCCCCACTAAGTCTGTGACTTTGGATAGGATTCTCGACCACACCTACCTCCATTTACTCACGTGGGGTCTCTGCATAGTGATAGAGCCCACCTTAGGTGATTTGTGAGAAGAGCATGACCTAGCGTTCAGCATCACTGGCCGATTCTATATATTGGTAGCTTTTTCCTTGACAGAGATGTTCTACAGCAGGTCAGATGTCTGGCCATCTGCAGAGGTAAGGAATGTCTTACCTCACTTCTCAGCCAAGACTCAGGTATCCTCTGACTGTAGAGACAGGCCCTGCTGGGGCTTACCCAGGGACCTCTTCCTTGGACCAGACTGGCCGAGAGGGTAGTGACTCTGACCTTGGGAGCCACCTTTCTTTTTCACTCCTTGGGGTTTAGTGTGGAGGAGAATATGTTCTCTTTGTTTTTGTTTGTTTGTTTTTTCAAGACAGGGTTTTACTGTGTAGCCCTGGGTGTCCTGGAACTGGCTCTGTAGACCAGGCTGGCCTCAGACTCACGGAGATCTGCCTGCCTATCCCTCCCGAGTGCTGGGATTAAAGACGTGTGCCACCACTGCTTGGCTGTTCTTTTTGTTTTATATGTATGTATGTGTGTGTGTGTATTATATATAAATTTATCATATTTGTATATAGATATACAAATATGATAAATTTGAGGAAAGTTTTGAAAAGTGTTGCAATCTGTTCCCAGTATGCTATGGTGATCTCTTGTTTTTTGTTTTTTTTTTTTTTTCCTCTAGAATTTCTCTGTGTAGCTTTGGAGCCTGTCTTGGAACTCACTCTGTAGACCAGGCTGGCTTCAAACTCATAGAACTCTGCCTGCCTTTGCTTCCCAAGTGCTTGGATTAAAAGTGTACACCACTACTGCCTGGCTTTTTAAAAATTTTTCAAGACAAGGTTTCTCTGTCTAACAGTCCTGGTTGTCCTGGAACTCACTCTGTGGACCAGGCTGGCCTCGAACTCACAGAGATCCATCTGCTTCTACTTCCCAAGTACTGGGATTAAAAGCATGTGTCATTATCTTTTTTTTACTTCATTTATTTTTATTCTATGTGCATTGGTGTTTTGCCTGCATGTATATTTATGTGAGGGTGTCAGGTACTCTGAAACTGGCATTAGGGAAAATTGTGAGCTGCCATGTGGGTGCTGAAAATTGAACCTGAGTCCTTTGGAAGAGAAGCCAGTGCTCCTAACCTCTGAGTCAGATCTCCTGCCCCATCTCTTTTTTAAGATTTTATTTTTGATTGTGTGCATGTGAGTGTGTGAGTGTATGTTTGTGTGAGACCAGAAGAGGGTGTCAGAGATGGTCTAGAACTGGAGTTGTAGGCAGTTGTGTGTGAGTTACCTGAAGTAGGTATGGGAACTCAGAGCTTGTGAGGAGCAGCAGACTCTTACCAGTGAGCCCTCCCTCTGGCCCCTATGCCGGCCCCTGGCTTTTCTGCTAGGCCAGATGGTCGATTCCATGATATCACTACAGCCCTACGCCCCTTACAGAGACCCCTTGAGTCCAACATCTCTTTGCAACTTCTTAGCAGACCCCATAGGGCCAAGCCTGGACCCTCTCCATCATCTTGCAGATGAAGGAAAAGGGAATGTGAGGAGCTGTGAGGAGGTGGAAGGGTCACACATTCGGACCCAGCCTGGATTTTGACTCCAGTTCTCGCTGGCATGAAGGTGACCTTCCCTCAACTCTCCTCTTCCCTCAACTCAACCAGGGAGAGCAAGTCAAAGAGAATGACAAGGCATGTGTTTATGTAGCGGCCTCCTGAGTGCACAGCCCTCTGAGGAGGCCTGCACTTTCTTCTGGTGTTTGTTTCCATCTCTGTCAGTATCATGTTGAGACCACTTTTTTTCTCGGGTCCTCAGTTTTAGGCATCAAGTGTAGAGACTTCTAGTTGCTGGGGTTTATCTCTGTTCCATTCCTCCTTTATCCGGTTCACTTGGTTTGTGGCTCCCAAAAGGGGAGCAGAGCCCCCAGTCTTAGCTTCTGCCAGATGTGAACTAACACACAAGTTACCAGAATCAGGAAGCTGGCCTGCGAGTCTCACCCAGTTGGCACATGGTATTTCTGAATGTTGTGTTTCATTAGCAGTCTCCAAGCGGAGGTGGTTTAAATTTGAACGGGCAGAATTTGGATGCTTTATTTTTATATCTGCCTCCAACACCCTGAGAGCCACGTGGTTTCTGGGGTTTGTAACAAGATGTGTTTGTTCTGTTGCCCAGGTCCTGGGTTCCCCCTTAGCCCCAGTCCAGGCCCCTCTTTGGAGCCTGGCTCCCTTACGAGGCCTTGGGGATGCCCTACCCGCTGCTCTTCGTGGATCTCAGAGTGTGAGCCTGGGGAGCTCAGCAGATTCTGGGCAGCTTGGGGAACCCACGCTGGTGAGTCCTTCCTCTGCTGTGCATGTGATTTGTTTCTGTGGGACCTTTTGGGTGTCCTACTTGGGGCTGTGACCTAGCCCTGAGACACAAGCTGTGACTTCAGAGTTCACCAGCTAGTCTGAGAAGAGTCACTCTGGTGGTGGGGCTGGCCTGGGCTGTAGGGCTACCTTTGCTGATCTCCCCACCCTTGTGGCTGGGACGGTGGGAGTTGGGATGGGAGTAAGCAGTGTGAACTAGTCGCCAGATTCATGGACATGGTGGGACTCGATTGGGGCCCTATCTAGTTGGGAATTGAGGGAGCATGCCAGGGTCGTTCTGGAGGTCTTTCTGGTAAGTCCCTTGTTCCTTTTGTGTTTTGGAGCCTTCACAGGGTCCCAAGACTGCTGCTTGTGCAAAGGGTTCCTTGGGCTCTACCCACGAGGGCAAGCGTACTCTCAGTCTCTTGGCTTTAGGGGAAGAGACCAACGAGGAGGACGAGGAGGAGAGTGACAACCAGGTAATGGTGAGGTGTTGGGAGCCACCTTTTTGGGGTGACTTCTGCCGCGATCCTAGCCTCGGTGGGTTCACATGTTCCAGGGTAGGGGTGTGAGGATTAGAAAAGTTAAGTAGAAGGAGCAGAGATAAGAAAGATCACAGAGAACACAGGATGGTGACGGGAGGGCAACTCAGTGAATACTGAATACTGAATGCTGAATTCTTCTGAGTTCTCCTGTGTTTAATTTCCGTACACTCATATACCCCAGTACTAAAGGGGGTGGAGAAGAAGGCAAAATACTGTTTTAACGTGATACAAAGGACAACTAGAACAGTTACTTGCCCCAATACTTGAGACATCAAGTTATTATTTCTTGAGAAAAACATTCTGTTGTGTAGGCAGTGAACCCACCCTAGACCAAGTATCCTGAGGGAAACCACTCTCTAGGTCAAACCTCCTATTTCTAAAGAAGTAGCAGAAGTATGCTTGAATTCTCTGACCTTTGGTCAGGGTGAAGTGGATCTACCTCCATGGGCCATCTTAATGTCCAAAACACCAACTAACCACACCCTAACTCAGGGTGTGTAGCCACAGTTGTGTCAACAACTTTGAGCAAGCTCAGACTCTCTGACCTCCAGACAAGGTGGAATAGGCTCACATTTTTGGGCCTCCACTGTGAGGTCCCCTTTCTGGCCCGGAAACCCTCTGGGTGTATATACATATTATATATATCTAAATTGTGGTAAATCTCTGTCATACACACAGGTAAGATTTTAACTTATTTTATTCTAGTTCTTTATTTTTAAAGATTTTGTTTATTTATGTATTTGATATAATGATATGGTATCATCACTACTGTCCACTTTCAGAACTTGTTTATAGTCCCAGATTCTAGCCAACAAAAAATACGTTCTTTTTCTTCCAGCCCCTGGTAACCTCTAACTTTGCCAGTTCTCTTTGTTTTATATTATAAAATCACATAGTGTTTTTCTTTGATGTCTGGCACCTTCTCACTCAGCATGCTGCAGTGAGTATGTAAACACTCATTTTGAAGCCTGTTGTGTGTGTTCCATGTTCTGTCTATGCGCTCATCTGTTGGTAGATACATGGATTAATTCTATTTGGCTAACCTCCCAGCCATTTTAAAAATAAATAAAAGTGTTTTTTTTTCCACCCATAACTTTCTTTCTCGACCAGTCTGTATGCCTTTTAGGTCTGAGCTGGAAAATACAACGTATTTGCTTGGCCTTGTGCTCACTGGATAAAGGGCTGCTTTTAACGAGGCCTTAGTGGAGGGCCTGCCCTGAAGTCCCCCAGAGCCTTAGCGAGGCCTTAGTGGAGGGCCTGCCCTGAAGTCCTCCAGAGCCTTAGCAGGGTACCCCTACTCTCCACGCATGCCCTTCGTGTTGGGCTGGCCAGTGTCTTTAGACTTAGCACTGTTTTCTTTTTGTCAGCTTGACACAAGCTAGAGTTATCTGAGAAGAGGGAACCCTGATTGAGAAAAATGCGTCCATAGGATTGGTTTGTAAGCAAGCCTGTGAACCATTTTCTTAATAAGTGATTAGTGTGTGCCCATGTTGTGGATGGTGCTGTCTCTGAACAGGTGGTCCTGACTGAGCTGTATACAAATGCAGGCTAAGCAGTCAGGTGGTGGTGGCACATGCCTTTAATCCATGCTCTTGGGAAGCAGAAGCAGACAGATCTCTGTGAGTTCGAGGCCAGCCTGAGCTACAAAGTGAGTTCCAGGCCAGCCTGAGCTACAAAGTGAGTTCCAGGCCAGCCAGAGCTATTGAGAGAACCTTGTCTTGAAAAATCATAAACAAACAAACAAACAAACAAATAAACAAACAGGCTCAGCAAGAGGATCAATCTAGTAAGATGACTCTTCCATGGCCTCCGCGTTAGTTCTTGCTGCTGATCTTTTCCGAGTTCCTTAGGTGGCCGACTATGCCCTGAGAGTTGAAGCTGAAGTAAGCCCTTTCTTCCCCAACTGCCTTTTGCTCATGAACTCTATCATAGCAACAGAAACCCTAACTAAGACACTGCTCATAGTTGGTTTTTTTTCTTGCAGAGTGTCCGAAGCTCTGGTGAACTTCTCAAGAACCTGCATCTGGACCTCGGTGCCCTGGGAGGTAACTTTGAGTACGAGGTAAGAGCCTGAGAACACTGCTTGCTGGTGAAGCCTCGGGCCTCACCTTTTCTCCTCTGAAGCTCTGCCGTCTGTGGAGCGTATTTGGAAAATGGTCTGTCCAGGATTTCTGGGGTTCAGGGAATCCATTCTCTCAGCTCTCAAATGACCAGTTCTTGGTGAAGTCCCTGCACTAGCTGGTGCTTTGAGCATAATGAGATGTGTGTGCTTATGGCCATGCCTGCCTGTACATTGCACCGGGAAGAGATTTCTTGCCTAGACAGCAGGCAAACTTGGTGGAAGAGATGACATTTGCCCTGGGCTTTGAAGAGAAGCTAGATTTTAGACAGGGGGTAGTCTAGGTAAACGAAGAGCCCAAGCAAAGATTTAAGGGTGAAAAAAAGCAGATGGGTGGGAATAGCTTCTGGAGCATGCCTGCAAGGTCCCGCGCGTCTGCCGCCAGCGTATTTTTTCTGGAGTGCACACAAGCAGTGTGAGTCAGTGTGTATTCACACTCAGACCTTCCATGCATGTTTTGGAGCCTGGACATAGAAGTCTTAGGAACGTTTTCTACTGTGTGTTCTCAGTCTAATGTCTGATTTATTAATTTTTTATTTTTTAACTTCCCACCCCTGATTTATTAATTTCTAAGCCATTAACAGTTCTCTAAATTTTCCTAAAATATTTGTTATAAGCAATGAATCGTGAAGTTTGCAAATTAGATTCATGAACGCATTTAAATACTGACTGCAGGTCTAAGCCTCACACAGGTCTTATATATTATGTTTTTATTAGTGCCTTCCACACCTTAAAGGCAAAATCACTTTTATCTTATTAGAATGATCACAAAGCTGGCCAGAAAAGCAAAGGTGCTCCCATCACGAATTGTAGTTGGCTTCTTTATTATCCCTCTTCTTTGTGTGTATGTGTCTGTGTTGCACATGTATGTTTGCTGAATCATATGCTCAAGTGCACATGGAAGCCAGAGGAGGACATTGGGTTTTCTGTTCTATCACCCACTGCCTAATTATCCCCTCAAGATGCAGTCTCTCCATAAGTCTGGTACTAGGCTGGCAGCCAGCATGCCCCTGCGATCCTCCTGTGGCCACACGTGATTTTTCACATGGATGCTTAGTAGCAAGCCCTCTGATCCTCTGAGACATCTCCTCAGCCTCCCTTATTATTTTTTTTAAATTGCATTTTAACTTATTTATCTACATATGTGTGTGCGTGTGTGTGTGTGTGTATGTGTGTGTGTGTGACATAGTACATGTGGAGGATGGAGTCAGTTTTCTCATTTCATGAGGTTCCTGGGATTGAACTCAGGTTGTCAAACTGGACCAAAAATGCCTTTACCCACCGAATGGTCTCACTGGCCCAATCTCTTTTTATTTTTGACAAATATTTCTTGCTTTCTCCCCACTCCTTGGAGGCCAGGAGTCTCGGTCCACACACTGGCTGACAGACTCTGGATTGGTACTTGAGACCTCACTGTAGGTGCGTCTCTTAAGGGGGTCTAACTCTACCTTTGGGGCAGGCCCCATTTCACAGTAAAGCTTTGCTCATTATCCTGGAGTCTGTTCAGCCTTTCGGTTCTGCACAGTCAGCTATGTTTTGATTGTGACTTTAACACTTCCTGCCAACTGCAGCCCTTTCCCGACTGTCCCATCTGTATCTCCAATCTGATACACGTCTGCTCTGAAACTGCTCCTTCTGAGCGGAGCTGGTCTGCTGGGGTAAAGAATTCTGTTTGGTTCCCTGTGGGAGGACTTTGTTTTCTTCTCAGCCACGGTTAACCAGTGCTGACTGACCGCTGGACTCAAAGAGGACCCTCAGTTTGCACCTGAGTGGATGTCTGTGACTAGAAGGGGTGTCATGAAGGCTGGCATGTTTGGAGAAAGAGAGTGGTTTCCAGGGAACCAGGCACAGCGAGGGTGAAGATCCTGCATACCCAGCACCTAGCCCACTCCCTGGGACACAGGAAGTGCTGGGTGTCTTTTATTTAGCAGCAGAGAGAACGGAGTGGAGAGTATCTAGACAGGCTGGTGGCTTTCTCACCCTCTGGGTACAGTAGGCGTTTGTTCCTTGCAGTCAGCTGGTGGATTGAGATTCCACTGTAGCTTGATCATAATTGCGTTTTAATGGATTACAGATGTCACCAAGAAAGGTATTTCTCCTTTGATATAGTATGGACTTCTGAAGTTTTGTGTGGGGAACAGGAGCTTTTAAAACATTTTCATAGCTTACTTGGCACCATGGTGGTGGTGGTGGTGGGGAATGTCTGGAGTAGGTGGTGCTTAGACACCTTGTACACTTATCTTCAGTTATCTGCCACATGGGGGTCGGAGTCCTGTGTTCTAACCTGAGGTAGGCATTAGGATTGCTTTCTTGGGGGTGGTGTTAGTGGCAGAGATCAGTGTAGGCTTCTAGGCAGACAAAGCTGCCTCCATTTGGGCACTGACCTTTGAAATGGCTTTGTCTTGGTGTATGATGACCCCCGGCTCCCCAGTCTTGCAGTTAGCTCCAGCTGCAGCCGCAGCCCTTCTTCCTGGGTTCCTGCTGCCCCATGTCACCGAGCAGTCACATTGCTCTTACTTCCATAAGAGGGCAGCAGGATGGCAGGAATGCAGCTGTCAGTGTCTCCCTTCTCTGCTTTCCAGCCTAAACCCATTGCTAATCTACTGCAGACGGGAAGGGAAGGGCTCATGGGACCCACCCCAAGAAGGCTTCTGATGGGGAGCTGGAGGCAGAGGGCGGTGAGCTGGCAGTGTGTGGTCATGTGGTGCTGATGAAAGGCCATCAAAGGAGAGGGAGGGAGCCAAGGCTTATAAGTCACAGGATGATATCAGTGTGACTGAAAAGTGCTAACTACACCCGGGGTGCAAAGAATTGAGACCAACTGAATGGGCACCCAACCTGGAAAATAACCGTGGCCGATGGTTGGCTTAGCAGGAGTCTCCCTAGAACGGTATGAATGCATGGGCATGTTGCTGAGGCAGCCTCCCCATCCCCCGTCCTGGGTGGATCATGGGAGCCCAAATGCCTCTGTGCTCTGGGCAGGTTAGGGGGTGGGACTGCAACCTGGGGAGCCTCATGACTTTTGAAAAGTGTTAAATATTCAAGAGTCACTCCTCTTCACCCCCTCCTTGTGCAGATGGCAGAATCTTGAAATATGCCTTGAAATACAGAAGGACTTGAGACTGTGGCAGGAGGAGGTCGAGGAGTTTGAGCATGGAGAGGCCCAGAGCAGAGCTGTGCACCCAGAGTCTGGAGCAGGACACTGTACAGAGATGTCTGGGGAGTGCATTCTGACTGGGTGCTAGCCCTGGGGATAGCCTGGGGACACTGGCTGGGTGAACAGGAACAATGTGGAGTCAGATGAGACACTTAGACTTTCTGCATCCTTTTGTAGATGACATCCAGCCAGTGTTTAATTTCCCCTGCTTTCTCCACCCATTTCTGGCTGTCCTATGGATGTCATCAATAGATGTGGGTGCAGACCAAGGCCATTTATTTTATTTTATTTTTAAGGCCATTTATTTATTTTAATGGTTGCCTTATTTTAATCAACTTTATGTTTATGTAGGCAGATTGAGATCATCCAGTCACATGAAACTCTTCCTTTTCGGGGAGTGGGAGGGAGCTGAAGGTGGAAGCTGGGGCCGTACACTTTAGGCACACTGTCTATCAGTGAGCCATGCCCCTGCAGAAATTCATCTTCAAGGGTTTAAGCCTGAGAGTTGCCTAGATGAAGCCCAGTGTTCTTGTAGTCAGATTGTGTTCTCTCCACTATAACTATGGGAATCTTGGGCCCGAGAGATGGCTCACTGGTTAAGAGCACTTACTGTTCTTTCCAAGGACCACAGGGCTGATTCCTATCACCCTTATCAGGTGGCTCACAACTGTTTGTAATTCCAGTGGGTCTTATGCCCTCTTCTGGCGAGTAAACCATACACATATGTCACACACACACAGACACACAGATAGACAGATACACACATGAATAAAGCAAAATCTTTAAAAATAAATAAATAAATCAAGACCTACAGCTATTTTTTTTAAAAGGAAAGAAAAAAGAATCTACCTATATCTGGTATCTTCTCCCCCCCCCCCCACAGTCTCAGGTATACTAGGCACTTGGTATACTACTGAACTGCATCCCTAGTCACTGAGACACTTTGAGTTTAAGCATTTTTAGTTCAATAATGCTAATACTAATACAAATAAATAATTTTTTTGAGGCAGGGTCTCACAGTGTTGCCTTGACTGGCCTGGAGCTTGTTATAGACCAGACTGACCTTGAATTCACAGAGATCTGCCTGCTTCTGCCTCTTGAGAGCTGGGCTTAAAGGCATTTACTACCTACCACACCTGGCCACCCTCTGAGTTTTATGGTCTACTTGTATTTTCATCATTTTGAATAGTTAAGAGTTAACATTTTATTTCATAAACACTGTAACGAAATAGTCTAATTCACACATAACTTTGGCAAATAAATATTATATCTCCTTCTCCATTTAGGAGAGGAAGAAGGGAAGCCTCAACTCACATCACTCTCCCACACATGCGTTCTTTTTTCTTTTCCAAAACAGAGTTTCTCTGTAGCCCTGACTGTCCTGGAACTTGCTCTGTAGACCAGGCTGGCCTCAAACTCTCAGAGATCTGCCTGCCTCTGCCTCCTAAGTGCTGAGATTTCCACCATTGCACAGTAACACGTGTATTCTTAAAAAAACAAAAACAAGACAACCATAGTTGAGACATTTATATTGCCAGAAACTGGGTTCTGAGCACAATAGGGATCTAGTAAGGAAAATTAACAAAGAAACTCATAGCTATTATAGGTATTTGGCAGACTATCGAGGGACCAAAAGACCAAGGAAGGCTTCCTGGGAGAGGCGATGCTGTGAGAACCGGTAGTTTGTCAGGAGGTGGGGGAGTGTTTGTGTCAAGAATATGTGGCCTAGTGGTAGAGTAGAGGCTTAACATGTGCCACGTCTCAAGATATCTTTAAAAACTAAAGAGAATGTGTGTTGCCAAGTAGAGCAATAGCACAGTGCTCAAGCACAGGCAGGAGGGGAGGGAGGCACAACACGGTGGGGATGAACTATGAGAAGCAGCAAGGGCTGTCTGGTGTCTGACACTTCCTCTGTCTCCTAATCCAAAGCTTGTTGCTAGGTAACCCAATTAGGACTAGGTTTCAGCCCCTGATTGAAGGATGAGGACAGGAGAGCCTTCCTTAATTCCAGGATGAACTTGACTAGCACAGACTGGTCCCATTTTCTGAATGACTCTTGTGGTAAACAGGCACCCCTGTTGGCAGAGACTGTTTCCTGGCCACCCAAACCTGAAATAATCACACACAGAAACTATATTAATTGTAACGCTGCTTGACTAATGATTTTATTATATTTCTAGCTGGCTCTTACATCTTGAAGTAACCCATTTTTATTAATCTGTATATCTCCACGTGGCAGTGGCTTACTAGGTAAAGTTTTGGCATCTGTCTCCTTCTGCAGCTACATGGTGTTTCTTTGGCTCCACCTATATTCTCCTTTTCTATTAGCTTGGAATTCCTGCCTTGCCCTATTCTGCTAAGCCACTGGCTGAAACAGCTTTATCCATTAACCAATAAAAGCAACACATACGCAGACGAACTTCCCTTCCCCCTCCTCCTGTAAAGGTCACTCTCCTCCTTGGAGAGGCAGAGTCTGGTAGACAAGTTGTGGAGCTCCTGCTGAGTGTTGACGGTGTGGCCCCAGCTTGGTGAAGAGAAGGGGCTCACACACACTTGAAACAGCAGCTCTACTCTTAAGTTTTGAGAGTGGTAGGGGTGGTGCTGGTTACTGTCTGCTTCTCCTTCACCTTCTGCTCTTCTTCCAGGAGCAGGCTTGGGACTGCTGGCAGTCGCACCTCCCTCTAGTGCTTCTTAGGTTTGGGCAGTCAAAACTCACAAGCAGGCCCATATGAGACACTTCACTTTTCTCAGTGTTAACTTAGTGCCCCACAGGCAGGGTCTGTTGGGTCATGTGTCATCTAAGGCAGTGGGTGTTTGGCACACTGAGGATGCTCGGAGGATGATTATGGGGTCTCATTATCATAGAACATCAGTGATCATTTCTGGGACCCTGACAGTGTGGATAGGCGTAGTTCTAAGTTCCTTACCTCACTTAATGAGTGTTAACTCATTTAACCCTCCAAGTGGCCCTGTAAGGCGGGCACTCCTTGAATCAATGTCTTTAAGAGGAAGGAACAGAGGCACAATAATTTGCTTGAAACTGCATCTCCTGCCTCCCTTTACCATTCCTCGGGAGCCTGGATTAGCCTGTCACTCGGCTGCCAGATCTGCAGTGGTTCTGTCTTGGCTTCAGCAGACATTGCACTAGAACCACGGCAGATGCCGTGCTGAGGTCTTCTCCTTCGAGCTGCCAGCTTGCTCTGTGATGGTCAGCTTTCCACTGCCATAGTGACTGTCTGAGTTAAACCTTAAGCCATATTAAGAAAAGCATTATATCTGCCAGCAGTTTTGAAAGTGAAGCTGTGACCGATTGACCCCTTGTTTTAGGTCTGTGGTGAGGCACAGCTAAGATGTTCACACCTTACGCCAAGGAGCAAAGAGACGAAGGGTGTGCCCCTAATAACCCAAAGACCTCCCAATTTGGACTCATGTTCTAAAAGTTCCATCCCTTCTCAGTAATGCCACTCTGGGGCAAGCCTCTACCACATAGGCCTTTTGACGACACTTCAGATCCAAACTCTAGTACTTAATATACTTCCAGTTTTAATCTTCAGTATAGGGAATTTGGAAGTCTTAAAAATCCATAATCAGGAGTTGTTCAGCCTGACATCCTAAGTGCCAGCACAGATGTTTTTCTGGAAGGACGCTCTGAGCCTGAGCCCAGGAGAGATCACTGGCTGTATTTCTGAGAAGGACTTTGTGTTTCTATTTTGGATAGCTCTATGAAGAATTTAGCAGAAGCAGCCGTGGATTTTTACTAGTGAGTTTGTATGTGTTAAGCAGGGTGTGGTCACTGTGTTAAGTGTGCAGCTCAGCTCTCCTTTCAGGAGACCCAGCGAAAGTGGAGTTGAGTCGAACATAGACAGCTGCCAGCTACTGGCCCTTTTGTCTTTTCTGGTTCATGCCAAGATTCCACTTCCTTCTAGTGTGACGGGGTTTGGGAGCAGGGCCCTTCCTTCCTGATGTGGAACTCCTCCGATAGCCTGCTTGAGCGCTCTTCTTGACTCAGATTTGCTCAGAGCTGCCCTGCTGCTCTTCTTTCTCTCTCTGTCACAGGTGATGGACCTGTGTCCTCCTTGTCGCCTCTGCCCCATCTCTTACCCAACTAATCCCATCTAGACATCTGCTTCTCAGAGACCCCAAGTTGAGAGTCCTGGACAGAAGATGCTATCTGTGGGGTTGCTGGTGATCAGCTTGTGTAAGGAGACTTGGAGAAGAGGGGTACCCTCCCCATATTTTTCCCTTTCTGCCTTTGAAAAATGAATGAAAAGTAAAAGCTCTTGTCTTTGCTATTGTCCTCTTGCATGGTGTCTGTCATCATTCTGAGTAAATATTGAGGGTTTTGAGGTCTGAGGGTTTGACTGATGGGGCTGAGGGGTCTGCTAGATGATGGCAGAGTGGCAGTAATTTCTAAGCCCAGTTTGATGTGTTTGTACCATCATACAAATTACCATTCAGTTTATCTGGATGTGGGTCAGGGGACAGCAATCTGTGTTTTGCTACACCATTTGGGCAACTGAAGAGATGGCTTATGGTGGTTTACAGCACATACTGCTTTTGCAGAAGACCTGAGTTCGGTTCCCTATATTGGGTAGTTCACAACTGCCCATAATTCTAGTTCCAGTAGGATCCAGTGCTTCTCTACAGACACCTGCACTCGCATGCACACGCCTGCATTTGCACATGTACTTAAAATATGAAAAGAAAAGCTGTTTGGGAGGACTGGGGAGAAGGATCAGTGGGTAAAGTGCTTGCTATGCAAGAATGCAGACATGCGTTCTGATCCCTAGCACTCATTTAAAAATCCAGGCAAGTCAGCATACATCAATCACTCTAATGGTGTTAGCAAAGAGAAAGGCGGGTTCCTGGAGCATGCTGGCTAGTTAGTCTGACCAAATCGGTGAGCTCCGGATTCAGTGAGGTGCCATGTCTCAGCAACTGAAGAAAACAACTGACGTTGACCTCTGGTGTCCATATGTAAGTTCATACACGTGCAGTGCATACACATACATAGACAGACACAGACGGACATAGACACAGACACAGGCACACACACACACACACTCACACACACACACACACACACACACACACACACACACACACGATAACAGGGTCAGAGCTTACAAAGACTACCTGAGAGTCAGAGAATGGCCATTCCATCTTGTGTCAGTCTCTAACCTTTTTGGCTAACTTTCCTGACATTCTCTTCACTCCTCAGGAGTCTCCGAGATCCAGCCAGCCAGTGGACAAGAAGGATGTTTCTCTCAACTCAAATGCTGATCGGCCCCCTACTCCTGGCAAGCTGTTCAGTCAGGGTGCTGACAGCAGTCTGGGCAGTGTTGATGGCAGCAGATCCCAGGGAAGAGTGGCAAGTCCCCAGAGCGCACAGAAAGAAAATGAGAATCCCAAGATTTCTGCAAGTCAGGTGGCTCCTAGGTGGGGCCCTGGGGGTGATCACCCTGCGAAGGACTCGAAGAAGGAGCGGGCAGAGGACATAGTGGAAGCAAAAGAGGAGGGTTCCAAGAGGGAAGGTGCAGCCAAAGAAACTCCCGCCCTGGAGGAGAACACATCAGATGCCAGTGAGGTAAGTCCCTTGGTCCCAAGGCAGTTGTCAGCTGGGACCTGCTGCTGCTCTCTCCAGCTCCTCATAGCTTCCTGCCTCCATGTCTGTCTTACCGAGTCAGGCAGTCAGGCGCTGAATCCAGCTGTCAGCATCAGCCAGAGCCCTTAATTGTGACAAATATGCCCAGACCCAGCAGGAAGTAAATTCCTGAATGAAACGGCAAACCTGCTGGTCCTGGGAATTCAGAGCAGAAATGTGCTTTTCCATTGGCCCCTCCTGGGATATCCACGCTCTTTGTTCCTCCTCATTACCTCTCCCCGCCTGTATGTTGTCTTGGTTTGCTGCAGTCTGAGTTCCTACAAAGAAGGATAGGTGTGTGTGTGTGTGTGTGTGTGTGTGTGTGTGTGTGTTGGGGTGGGGGTGAGGCTGCTAGAGTTGAATGTTCTGCACCAGCATAGGTAAGTCATAGTACAGAATGGCTCTTCTCATCCATTTCTATGACAATTGTACCAGGCCCAAACATGCAGGTGGTTGCATTTATAAAATTGCTCAATAATCAACATGGTTAGAAGTAGGTCTCTCTCTCTCTCTCTGTCTCTGTGTGTGTGTGTGTGTGGAGAGAGAGAGAGAGAGAGAGAGAGAGAGAGAGAGAGAGAGAGAGA